TTTTCAAGATGTATCGAGAAGCACTGTAGTAAAAGTGCTCCTTTGTCTATGTTTTTTTTTTGTTGTTGTTATATTTTTTGCTTGGCCGTTAATCGGAAGGTCGGCGGTTCAATCCCTAGGTTTAGGTTAGCTGCTCATTTTGTATTTTGTTTCTTGCTGAACAGGTCAGAGAGTTTTGTTTAGTTAGATTTTGAGTTGTGGCTCTCATTTTGGAAAGACCTCTTTAAGTTAAATTTGTTTCTTTGATTTAAGCAGCATCCACCAGCCCTTTTTCCGTTCTTTTGTAAATCCTGCAAATAAACAACTTGCACTTTTACCAAAAACATTCCGGTTCATGTTGCGTCCCTTTCCCCAAGAGCCGGGTCGTAACAGAGCACTAAAGCAGAACATAACCTTCATGCTGTAGAGTCTGTGCTTATCGCTTCATCAGATGTAGTGTGCTGTTACTCATCCAGCAGGTTTGCCAAATCAGTGTCTGAGGGCGTGACCAACTGTTTCCTGTTGTCAACCAGCTAACACATATGATGTTATCCGGCATTCTAAACCCTTCTTACAATATTAAACACCCATATATACATTTCTGTAGCTCAGGACTGACCCGTGGGAACATTGGCGGTTGCCTAGGGTGCAACACCGGTGTACCCAGTGATAGTAATTAAGTGCATCTCGCACTGTGAGCCCAGACAGTTTGTGACGAATGGTAACGTAACTCGTAGGGTGAGATTTCTGCCTGTCAGTTGGTTTCGGTTTCACATGCTGCATGCAGTCCCAAATTGTGTCGGGTCATAAGGGGATATTAACATCGGAGCAATAACATAGCCTAAAACACTGAGGAGTAAGTTAGTGAACAGTGGATTAATGCAAACTTACCTACAGCAAGATTGACCCCAGAATCTGTACCAGATGTGGGGACGAGGCACCTGTATGTTCCCGCATCAGAGAGCTTCACTTTGGAGAGTTTCAGTGAAATGTCTCCACGCTTGAGTTTGTTGACGGACAGTGATGTTCTCCCCATGAACGATGGATGCTCCTCAAACAAAAGCTCCACACCATCTCGCCTCAAATGGACAAATCTGGGTTCTAGGTCAGGTCTTGCCCACTCCACAGTGAGATCAGCAGCATTCACAGCAGGTTCCAGGTAACATGGCAAAATGATATCATCACCAACCATCGCCACTATTGGCAGAGATGGAGCAGTCACCTGAGACTGACCTAAGGGGGCAAAAAATCTCTTTTTTAATTCCTATTTATACTCACTGGGACTACAGTATGTAGCTGGCTATCTAACTTCGGCTGAAACCCTGTCCTTGTTACCCTTCAGCATACAGTGTCAAGGGCAGCAAGCATGTACAAGAGCTGGTGTCAGCAGCAGCTTAAGTGTAATTTATACTTCTGCGTCAAATCAACGACGTAGCCTCTGCGTAGCCCCCTGCCCTACGGCGTCTCCTACAGCGTAGCCTGACGTGCACCTCCTCAAAAATGTACCTACACGTCAAGTCGACACGAACCGTAAGCTCTGTGATTGGTTGGCTAGGTAGCCTCGCAATGCCTCCATGCCGACAGGAAGTGCCCGTGCTTTGAAGTAACTTTTACTAGTGGCCAAAACAGCGGCTGTAACACGGTGGCGCAATATATTTGACCGTCACAACCCGAGCGAAATCATTCATTTCATTATCAGAATGTGATCCACTCAGTCGATAACATTTGAAAAGGCTACACCATCCGCACGTATACAATTTTACCCCCATTCATGTTGGCAGAGTGCTGAACCAGAAGTTAGCCTGCTCGGCCGGTTTGGTAGCTGGTCAGAAGACTGTAGTTAACAACTGTAATCAATGTAGATTACGTCTTTGTTTGTAAATTCTTGTTGACTTAATAATAAACCATTTCAGAGTTGGATCCATTTGTTTGGATGGAGAACAATGGAGAGAGGCGTTCTTTCCACCGCTGTAAGTACTGCCATTAGGCCTAGCCGTGTCACACTCACAGATGCAAAGAACATTGTCTTCCATTATAAACTCTACGCAAACAGCAAGCATCTATTGAAGCAGCACAGCAATGTGAAACTTCAATCAATGTTTTTTGTTTTGTAAAAGCACTGAAACCTTCTCTTATAAATGCATGTGCAAAACAGTAATGTTAGTTTTAAAGTCGAAACACTTCAACAGACAGTGGCGTTAAAAAACATTATGCTTCGTAAACATCATACTCATTGTCGAGAGGGACCTGCTTTGTTTTTAGTATTTTTAAATTGACTGATTGTATTTATAGCCCATATAATACAGCGTCCCCTGGTCTGAGAGGCTGCAGTGTTTTCAGTTAGGCTAGTTGTTGACTCCTCAGGTTTGTCATTGTACCACTAAAGTGGATTCATTTCTAAAATGTGCAGCTGAACAGGTTTCTTCTCACTTTTAAGGATGGGGTGCAGTGGTTGAAAGTAAGTGTAACATGATGAATAATGTGACTATTTACTTTTAATACCCAGTAATAAGTAAAGTAATATTTTTACTTTTTTAATGATTAATAATAAAAAGTAACTCATTACAATTTCTTTCTTTAATTTGCCCAACACTGCTGCTAGATATGACGTATAAGCTGATGTGCCACATAGACATAGTGCTGCTTTCTGCCGCCTTGTTGCGTGCCCATCGCTGTGATGACGTTGCACCAAATCCCGTCTGTACTGTTTTGTAGTAGTAGTAGTAACTGTCTCAGCAGTGAGCCCATACAGTTACAGTATGCCCCGAGGGGATAACAGGTCCCAGCCAGAACAGCTGAAATATTTGTCACACAGTGTTACAGAGAGTTTAAGGTTATAAAGCTTCCTTTTATATGGGCGACTGTTAGTTTGGAAATATATAAAAGCTTTTTGTCATGTCAGAGTGTGAGCAAATGGCTAAAAAAGTATTTCTTATGAATTCAACTTTTCATTTGTAACATGATTATTTCTTATTTCAAACATTACACTCAAAATACATAGAATCTTGTGGACTTCTTTACTTTAAGAAGAAAACATGGGTTGAAAATATGTTGTAAAATTTAACGCAGACCTTTAGTGTAAATTGCTTTTGTAGTTGTGTTGTATCACATGACCAGTATATTACAGTATAATTTTGTTAAACTATATTTAAACTGAAACCAAGGGCTTTCACCATCTGTTTGTGTGTAATTTACCTCTACAAGAGTGTGTTAGGAGAAGGAGGACGGCAGCGTGACACAAAACCATTGAACTGAAACCAATGACCTGTGGTCTCAAGATGAGGATCTCCTTTATGTAAGTCATCCTGGAGTTCTGTAAATAAAAATAAGTCAGAAAAATATGTGGGACCAGATTACCCCAGCCACTTATTTTAAAAACATAAAGCGGGAAAAACAACTTCAAAAACGTTCAACTTAATCCACAATTTCTGTTTCTTTTTATCTCATATGTTATAGCTCAGTTTATTTGCCAACTGTATTCATACAATAATTTGTATTTATAAATCACTTTTGGTTTTCCATATGCAGTTTCTTTGTCTATAATGTTTACAAAATGTAACGACAGATGTCAACCTCATTTTATGTGTTATAAGCAACTGGCTGGTGCGTCAAAAACTTACAGGTGAATGAACAAACATTGCAACAGAGAATTGCAGTTTCACTTTCAATCTAAAAACAGGTTATAAATAATTACAATAATGGCATGTTAGAAAGTGGAATCACTAAAGTCACCAATTTAACATAAGTGAGTCATGTAAAAATGCGACATACCTTTTGTGTGTTGGTGTCCATGAGTCGCCTCACCTCAGAGAAGAAGGCTGCCCGGTCAAAGTCCAGAATAAATTAGCCTGAAATAAAACCGTCTGTACTTTTACCTCAGCCCTCTAGTGTAAGGAGTCGGCACAAAACACTAACATGACAGCATGAGTTTAACTGATTAATATGCAGTAAACAGACAGGACACCTTAGGGTTTAACTTAAATGAGCAGTCCAGAAAAACAAGGTAGTCCAACAAAGACCAGAACAAAACCAAATAATAGTCCCACCAGGGGACAAGGAAATAATTCAGAGAAAACATAAACATTCGAGAAGGGCAGAGTTTATGACAAACAAGCAGAACTGGTAAATTCAGAATAGGGATCAAGTTGCAGACTGACGCCAACGATATGAATGATATGATGTTATATAGACTGGACAAAACAGAAAGCGATACATTTACACAGGCAGGGAGGGGGGTAACAGGTGAAACTAATCATGATACAGACAACAGACACAAACCAAGGCTGAATTTCAAAATAAACCAGGGAAACAGACCTTTATCTGACAGACAAATCTAACCAGTAACAACAGTAAGATCTAAACAAAGTCAAAATCAAGCAAATCAAAGTAACTAATCACAGCAGAGTGTGTGTGTGTGTGTGTGTGTGTGTGTGTGTCTTTGTATTGCACTTTGATTTTCATTCATTCTGTTTACTTATTATTACTTTTAACGGCAGACAATGAACTTTGGACCTGCTCCAGCCTGAAGCTGGCAGCTGTTAAAAATACCATAGTAACAAGAAACAGTTGGTTGGAACGAGGAAGTTGTCCATGTCGGTACAACTCTTTCTCAAAACTGGGGACACGCCAACCACCATCTACTGCAGATAATACACTGACTGTGAAAAGCACCTCATACAGCCCCACTTCAAAAATCCTACTCAGCACCTTTATCTTAGTTTACACTGTACATGAACGAAACATTTATGTGTCAATATTTAATTGTAAGACAATTATTAACACAATAGTAAATGTTTTTAATAAAATTTTAATGTTTTCAAAATATATTTCACAGCTGGCTCTGTGATCCCGGAGAGTCCTGTCTTTCCTGTGACGGAGGGAGACAATGTGACATTGTGCTGCAGAAAGAAGCAGACGTCCTCCAACCTTATCAATGAATTCTTTAGAGGGCCACTTCACTGAGATCATGACCATCCACAGTGTTACTAGACTTAATGAATCAGCAGAGAGCTGGTTTACGGTCAGAGGTTTCTGTGCTTTTAACTTTTGTCCAGTTTTTATTCAGTGATGCTTTGTACCTTACTTTTGTTGAGTTCCATGTTTTAAAACTTGATAAATGTATTACAAATGCCTTCATAACTGACTGTGCCGTGCTCTCTGGTCCAGCTACCAATGAGTTACAATTGAGAATAGTTACAAAAAATGTTGGTGGTGGTGTGGTGTGAGGACAGAGAGGACCCAAATGCAACGCTCAGAGGAAAGGAGGTTTATTGAGGGGAAAAAGGGGTTGAAGGACCGGAGTGGAGGGAGAAGTGGAAGCTGGGGAAACACAGACACGTTGAACCGAGTTAACTGGGACCAGAGAGCCGGGGGACAGGGGCCGAGGAAGGGAGGATGCAAGGGAGAACTGGGAGGACGCCGTGGGGGAAGCCCGGAGAGGAGAGGACCGGAGGATGAGCCCAGCCGACAGAACGGACGACGAGGGTGAGTGAACCTGGGCGGACAGAAAGACAGTAGTGCGAGGAATAACCGGGGGCTGGAAAACAAAGGTTATTTAAACCTGCGCTTGAGAAGTTGGCACCAGGTCGGGAGCGATGACGATCAAGTAAGAATGGTGTGGAGAACCGGGGTTGAAATACTGGCAGGTGTGGCAGGCTGACGAGGTGGCTGATGAGGTGGCTGATGAGGTGCGGGTCGTTGGCTGGGCTCAGGAGCAGAGGGAGAGAGAGAGCACACACACAGGGGAGAAAACACAGGGAGGCAGGCAGGGAACAGAGAAAACGTCTCGGGTTACCTATGTAACCCTGGTTCCCCGAGAAGGGGAACTGCGTCGGTTTCGACACTATGGGCGTTCCCGTAGTGTCGTAACCGACGCAGTTTGAGTTCCCTCGAAGGGGAACCAAGGAAAAAGCAGAGTAACTGAATAAAAGGAGAACAAACAAGGACACTCGCCGTCAGCCGGGCCGCCACCACAACAAAGACGGTGTCCTGAGTCTCTGATGTGTTTGAGCCTTTTGTATCATGCACAGACCGGAGGAATGGACTGACAAGGCACAACTCAGCTGACACTGTTGGTTTACAGGCAGAGGTTTCCAAAACGATAAGGCAGAAATCTAGGTCTAAACAAGCACTAGTCTAATACATTGAGGTGAAACACTACGAAATAATACTGAGGAAAATGGCTGGAACTCTGTTATGCGAACAAGATGATCTGGCAACTACACAAAGGCTAAAAGGATATTTATACACATAGGCCCGAAACACTTTCTGTCTCTTTCTAAACCATATCATCAGGTTCATTACACAGTCAGTTTCATCTGGGTCCGTGGTATACTTGCAGTGTATGCTCATCATTGCATTGATCATGATACATTAGTTCTGGTTACACATCAGTTTGGATGTGCGTTTGAACATCAAATGGACAATTGTGTCATTCGTCCATGTAATGATTCACTGACGGTTGTATAATTTCACACAATGGTAGAGACAGTGTTTTTCCATTTATTCATTAAACTCATTTTGAAGCGCACACAAGTCTAGACTGCAGCTCTGTCATCCACTGTGACTGTATTAACAATGAAGAAGCTTTTATTTATGGGGTTTATTTATTCATACAGAGAAACAGAAAATTTATACTGGTACTTTTGATACTTGAACAAAAAATGACAATGACTGGAAAACAAGATGTAAATAATGTAATATAATGTAAGTTAATAATAAGATGTAAATAATAATAATAAGAATAATTTTAACCCTTAAAATACGAGGTTAATCGCGATGTGAAAAATCAGACAGCATTTTGAAACTTTTATACTACAAGAGATATATTTAAAATAAACCATTACAACTATTGTCATCAGATACAATACTAGTAAACATATTTACAGGTTTATGTGATTATTTTATCATGCCTCTGTTTTAAAATTTTTCAACTTCTCATTAATTTGGTTTTGACACAAACTTTCTGTAACACTTATTTCCTTCTCTCCCCATTTCAGTTCTGAACTGTCACTCACTGCCACCAGAGGACACTGAGTACTGTAAACTGCAGTAAAACGGAACAGTTAATATGAACAGAACAAACATTTTGACAGATTCATTTAAGATCATTTAAAATGAGCAATTATTGAAAATTGGTAAAACTGAGAACAATTAGCCTTACCCAGTGGTGGAAGGAATGTTAAAATAGTCAGTAATCAAATATAGACACAGCGGTATGCCTTTGTTAGATGATGATGGTGACGAGTTGACAGGAGACAAGAAGGAGTGAGAATGCATTAAGGGACAATGTCAAGTTTAGCCCCCTCTTCCTCTGATTACTCTGTCTGAAGTTTCACCAGAATCTCATCCCTCTGAGATTTTATCACCTTCAGGTGTTCATTAATTGGCTCCTTTAAATTCTCAAGTTTTATTTTTCGTTCTGTTTTCTGAAGCACCTCCTCCTCTGTTCTCTGAAGTAGTTTTTTTGTGTCCTCTAACAGTTTTCCAGTTGCTTCTTTTCTCTTCTGTAGATCTGTTATGATCTCTCGATAGGTATTTTTCTTCTCATCCCTAAATGCGTCGGACTGAAGTCTCTTGAATACGTTAATCTGCCTCTCAATCCATTCTGGGAGTCGTTCAAGTTGAAATCTGTAGTTATCCAGTTCTGTCTTGTATTCTTTCAGTGCACCAACTGCCTTTATTACTATCTCAGACTCTTCTTCATTCCTTTGTAACTCTTCATTAAGTTTGTTCACCATCTTATCTAAATACACAAGTTGTTCACTGTCTGTCATGTGCTGCACTCTTTCTCCTTCAAGCAGTAACTGAAGTTCTGCATCGTTGCTAAATGTTTTGATCTTCTTTGATGTGTCTCCCCGTTCTGCTTGATCTTCATCATTTTCTGTATAAATAGAACCAATAATGGTGTTAATTTTCAAGTTTAAACCTTGTCAATTTAATAATACTTACTTTGTCGTTAGCCCTGCCTTTTTGGTTTTACAAAAATAGCTGGATTTAACTGTGAGTTTATTGCAACCAACGCTGCAGGCCAAACGGACAAGGAGTAGGTTTTCTTCAGATTTATAATTCAAAGCATAGGAAAGAACCACATCCTGACCAATCAGCTGTCACAAAATATTAATACAGAATCCCAGTGTAGACAAAATACTTCATATAAAAGGTTCAAGTACAACAGAGGAGAGCGAGATCCTTACAATCAAGAAAGTACACTGTATTGCCAAAAGTTTTGGGTTCTTAATCCGTAGGGTTTCATGTGGAGTTGTTCAATTTGCAGCTATAACAGCTTCATCTCTTCTGAGAAGGCTGTCCAAAAGGTTTAGGAGTTTGTTCATGGGAATTTTTGACCATTGTTTTAGAAACACATTTGTGAGGTCAGGAACAAATGTTGAACGAGAAATCCTGCTGCAGTCCCAGCTCAAATTCATCCCATAAGTGTTCTGTTGGGTTGAGGTCAGGACTCTGTGTAGGCCAGTAAAGTCCACACCAAACACTCTCATCCAAGGTCCTTGGATGGTATGCCAAAGCATTAACAGTAATATCACACGCATATATAAAAGAGAAAAAAATAATGTCACATAAATTATTAATTTTCCAAAAGGACAAATAAATATCTACCATTGGAATCGTAATCCCAGAGTTAACACAGGTGATTGGTAACCAGTTTTGTGAGACCAGTTGAGCGAAGGTTAACTTTTTTTCCAGAGAGTTAGATTGACTTATCACCTCCTCTGGCCAATGTCTTTATCAGGCTCAGGCTATATATGACACCTGTTTTATTTTGTTCATCCTCTGCTTCATCATCTGTCCTTGCTATGCCTGTGGTTAGTGTTAGTTGCCCAGGTATGTGAAAGGAATACTTTCATGCACATCTTTTTCACCTTGATTCTAGTTGCTTACCTGTTTGAAACACTGTTAGGAATCTCCTTTTTGCCCCTCCTGTGACTAGTGATGGCCAAATTCTGTGTTCTGTAGCATTATCGCTTTCCAACACAATAGTGTCAAAAATGGTTCAGTACTTGGAGCTTCATTCAGCAAATGCACACCACCAGCTGCTGGTGAAGATGTGGACTAATTCAACAAGGCTGACGACCAAAAAATGCAATTCGGCAAATATGTTAATGCCAACCCAGAAGAAAATTTATTGCACTCATTGGTTGCTCTTTTACAGCAGGAGATGCACAAAATTGCAATTTAAGGCTTGATTTTAGTGTTGTAGCTACCACCTGTCTCTCATATTTTGGCCCTATAATTCACTAGCAGATATAAGTGAGAAAGCAATTAGCAGCAGGAATCATTATAATTGAGACTTGATGGCAATACCTTGCTTGGTCTCATTAACCCTGCAACTTTTGCTCAACAGACAGCACCTCTGCCTCTTCACTATATCTCTGCATGTAAAATGAATGATTGGCTTTAAAAAAAAAAAAACAGCTTTGAAGAATATTCTCTCACACACACACAATGACCATCCAAACACCCAATACTACAATGCCTATAAAAGTATTCACTCCCCTTGGATGTTTCACCCTTTTATTTCTTTTATACGTGGAATAATAATCAATATAATTAGGCTTTTTTGACAAGAATTTGCAAAAAAACCCTCTTTAATATCAAAGTGAAAAGAGATTTTTAAAAACTAATGTCAATTAAAATGTATAAGGTAAAGAAGATGACTGCATAAATGTCCACCCCCTTTCTTGAAAAGTCTTTGTGATATAATTTGCCCTTTGTCCAGCTAACAGGGTTATTATGTTACTTTGTTTCTGATTCTTTTTGTATTCAGATTATATATTCAGAGCAGGGTGCCATCTTTTTGGGAGACTTCACTTTTCACTTTTCTGCATGTGAGCAATTGCAATGAGACACAATTTAGACTACACTTTTTTGTTGTTAGTAATGCTGTGGAGGTTTGTAGTGCTACAATTAAGGTCAGTAGTGGCAGCACTCCTGGGCACTCCTCAGCGTAGTCTGCCTCTCCAACTGACCTCTGCTTAGTTTTGAACAATTTATTGTAATAAAGAAATTTTATTAATCCTACCATCCTATACTTATAGTTTTTATTATAGCTTCACGTGTCTCTCTTTTTTTTTTATTGCTTAAAAATAAATACGTTTTGGTGCATTTAGAAACAGGCCTCTGTCTCATCAGTAACGTTCCTGTGCGCCTTTTTTCTTTATCTTCTTCAAATAATAAAGGTTCAAATGTTTCCTGGGGTGCAATTCCCTAGGTGGCATAGTTTGGCTTTCATTCAGTTTGCCCCTTTCTTAGTCCACCATGGCACATTAACAATGCAGCTACAGTCTGTTAGCTGTTAGCTTAGCTTACCATAAACTGGACAGTAAGTCTGCTACATATATTTTATAACTACCATCAAACTGCTGTAAATTATAAAGAACTTGAATAAATTTGTAACTCACTGATTTTGTGATGATCTCTATATTTCCACGCAGCCAGAACAAGAATAAGAACACATGTGAACCAAACAGCCACTGTGATGCTGAGACGAACAGCAGAAGTAGGTGGGACAACAAAAAAATCATCTGAAATCAAAACACACAAAAAATTTTAATATTCTTATAGTCACAAGGTGATAATTTGTCCTATTCACTGGTTGCTGAAGGCCAAGAAGGTGAGTCTTATCTGTGTCTGTCTGTAGGAATAAAGGGAGAGAAGGAGAAAAACAGAAACAAAGGAAGTTGCTATGAATGCAAAGATCTGTTGAGACTTTGGACAATGAATAATAGCCCTCGTCCCCAATCAGTGTCTCATTGTTAGCCAAGATGAACTGGAACTAAAGACAACTGACCAGTAAGTGCTACCAGTGACACTGAGTATATGTTGTGGTAGAGGGCTTTGTGGTCATTACTTACCCTAGATGTGGCAGTAGTAAATAGAGGCCAGCTTTGCGCGCTCCTGCGAAGCGTTTTCTGGGGTTTATCTTTTGATATCACCCACCATGGGGCCACATTGGCGCAGTCACAAGTCTAGTTCCACAAAACACTAGTGTTGTGTTGTTCAAAGAACGTTTCGTTTATTTGACCTAATCTTGTATGTGACTCAGGAGGAACGTGTTGTTTCAGTGAGTAATTCGTTCATTTTCACAAATGCGTGAATAGTCTTGAACTCTTACGTTCACTCATTATACAGCAGCTGCATGGTCTCTGTCAGCACAGGAAACAACTGATTAGTTCACGACTCTCAACTGTGGTTCTCTGGGTTTGAGGCGTTAATTTTTCACGTGACATCTCGGCTACTGTTGAGCAGGAATGAACTAACCGTTCAGCGCTCACATGGGTCCTCCTGGGAGTCTGTCTTCACTCGGCAGGCTGAGTTACTGCCAGCCCCTGAGAGTCTTTCCTTAGCTGAATTACCACAGTGGTCGTCTCCTCTCCGGTCCGCCAGAGAACGCAACATAACTTTTACTTTTTATTTATTGACAGAGCCATGCTGTTGTTTCACCGCTCTTCACTGGTGAACAACCAGCAGCGTTTGAGATTATTATTAAATTTGTTAAATTTTAATAAGAGTGTGTTTTATTCATATAGTGTGTCAAGCTCATTACTTATGGTTGATTGTTTGGTTGGTCTATTAAAGCACAATTGCGATTTTGTTAGGCCTCTATTTACTACTTGTGGCAAATAATTTCTGTGGCGACTACATTAATATTATTATACTGTAAGAATATATGTGTTGTCTAAGTCATGTTTACCTGGAATATGAATCTCCACTTGTCTGGTCTGGTTGATGTCCTTCTGTTGGACTCTACAGGTGAAGCTGTTGCTGTGTCTCTTCTCCACAGTCACTCTGCTGCTGACAGTATAGAGGTCATCAGGACCTCTGACTGTCTCTGTAGGTCCAGCAGAGAGGAGGTTTCCCTCACCGTCCAGCCAAAACACCTCAGGCTCTGGATACCAGCCTTTAGATTTACAGTCTAACATCACTCCTTTGCTGACTGTAGAAATGTGTATTTCAGGTGACGAGACAGCGCCTAATAGAGAGCAGACATGTCAAAGGCTGTTTAAATGTAAAGTTGTGACAAACGAAAATACAACACTTCTTAGCCTAATGATTCAGCTTGGACACCACACCTAATATGCACATTCATAACTGAAAAATACTTTAATTAGTGAGGATAAATGTCTGTGGTAGAGCAATTATATAACTATTAGAATGGCCATAGAAGTCATTCTGACTGCTCACACATTATTTGCATATAATTTCAATAATAAATATAAAATCTAAGAATGATTGGATCTTTAATGTTAGGATAGGTAATAAGAAACATCAGGACACCAAACAATAACTTAAAATCAACTCTAATATGCATTTCAATGCATAGTAACTGCCTTTATGGACACGTTATCACCATTCAAGGTATAAATACTCTTTTGTGTTGTAATTTTAATACAATTCCAATGTTAAAATAAAATATACACATAGTTAGGAAAAGTCAGGGTCATTTTGGGACATGCCACCCCCCCTCAACAGCGTTATTACAGTGGGGGCAAAAAGTATTTAGTCAGCCACTGAAGTTCTCCTACTTAGAAAGATGAGGTCTGTAATTTCCATCATAGGTACACTTCAACTGTGAGAGACAATGAGAAAAAATAAATAAAACACAAATCTAGGAAATCACGTCGTAGGATTTTTAAAGAATGTATTTGTAAATTATGGTTCAACTCAATACTTTGTAACATAACCTTTGTTGGCAATGACAGAGGTAAAACGTTTCCTGTAAGTCTTCACCAGGTTTGCACACACTGTAGCTGGTATTTTGGCCCATTCCTCCATGCAGATCTCCTCTAGAGCAGTGATGTTTTGGGGCTGTCGCTGGGCAACACAGACTTTCAACTCCCTCCACCAATCTTCTATGGGGTTGAGGTCTGGAGACTGGCTAGGCCACTCCAGGACCTTGAAATGCTTTTTACGGAGCCACTCCTTCGTTGCCCGAGCGGTGTGTTTGGGATCATTGTCATGCTGGAAGACCCAGCCACGTTCCATCTTCAAGGCGCTCACTGATGGAAGGAGGTTTTGGCTTAAAATCTCACGATATATGGCCCCATTCATTCTTCCCTTAACACGGATCAATTTCCTGTCCCCTTTACAGAAAAACAGTCCCAAAGCATGATGTTTCCTCTCCCATCACAGTAGGTATGGTGTTCTTGGGATGCAACTCTGCATTCTTCTTCCTCCAAACACGACGAGTTGAGTTTTAACCAAAAGGTTCTATTTTGGTTTCATCTGACCACATGATATTCTCCCAGTCCTCTTCTGGATCATCCATATGCTCTCTGGCAAACTTCAGACGGGCCTGGACATGTACTGGCTTAAGCAAGGGGACACGCCTGGCACTGCAGGATTTGAGTCCCTCTCAGCAGAGTGTGTTACTGATGGTAGCCTTTGTTACTTTGGTCCCAGCTCTCTGCAGGTCATTCAATGATCATTTTGACCTCACAGGATGAGATCTTGCGTGGAGCCCCAGATCGAGAGAGATTATCAATGGTCTTGTATGTCTTCCATTTTCTTACAATTGCTCCCATGGTTGATTTATTCACACCAACCTGCTTGCCTATTGTAGATTCACTCTTCCCCGCCTGGTGCAGGTCTACAATTTTCTTCCTGGTGTCCTTCAACAGCTCTTTGGTCTTGGCCATGGTTGAGTTTGGAGTCTGACTGCTTGAGGCTGTGGACAGGTGTCTTTTATACAGATAAAGAGTTCAAACAGGTGCCATTAATACAGGTAACAAGTGGAGGACAGAAGAGCTTCTTAAAGAAGAAGTTACAGGTCTGTGAGAGCCAGAAATCTTGCTTGTTTGTGGATGACCAAATACTTATTTTCCACCATAATTTACAAATAAATTATTTAAAAATCCTACAATGTGATTTCCTGGATTTTTTTTTCTCATTTTGTCTCGTAGTTGAAGTGTACCTATGATGACAATTACAGACCTCTCTCATCTTTCTAAGTAGGAGAACTTGCACAATCAGTGGCTGACGAAATACTTTTTGGCCCCACTGTACATTGCAAAAGTCAAAATGACTGCCTTTGTAGTTTTAGTGTTAACTCTGTAGAGTCTCTGCTAGTTGCTGCAGGCATCAACAGATTTAGTATGCCGTTACTGATCCAACAGGTTCATCTAAACTTTTTCCTGTTGTCACCTTCTACTGCATATGATGTTAGCAGGCATTCCAAACCCTTTCTGTCGCTTAATTATGTCAATGCATTTATACCTTTCATGAATATTTATAGGTCTTTTTGTAAGTGCACAATTTCATGCAAACTTACCTACAGCAAGATCGATTACAGATTCCGTACCAGGCGTGGGGACGAGGCACCTGTATGTTCCCGCGTCAGAGAACTTCACTTTGGAGAGTTTCAGTGAAATGTCTCCACGCTTGAGTTTGTTGACGGACAGTGATGTTCTCCCCATGTACAATGGATGCTCCTCAAGCAGAAGCTCCACACCATCTCGCCTCAAATGGACAAATCTGGGTTCTAGGTCAGGTCTTGCCCACTCCACAGTGATGTCTGCAGCATCCACAGCAGGTTCCAGGTAACATGGCAAAATTATATCATCACCAATCATCGCCACTATTGGCTGGGATGGACCAGTCACCTGAGACTGACCTAAGGGAAAAAAACAAGTCTGTTTCATAATTCTTGTTTTTTCTACATTATGACTACATTATGTAGCGGCTATATAACTTTGGCTCAAACCCTCTCTTTGTTACATCTACATCATAGAGTGTCAAGGGCAAGGGTGTTGAATGGGGCGGGGGGTCATGATGGCACGCTGTGACGACTTATGTCTTCTTCAGTTGTCTTTTATCATGCAGTATAGTGAGCATTCATTTCAATGTAGGGGTTAGACAAATAAGATGGTATTTTTCAGTTTTGTGTTATACCTTGGAAATAATAAATTCTCAAGTAAATATGAATAACATAATGTTCTGTTAAACTGATGATACTCATTTAACCACAGTAAAGTAATTGTGGGATGAAGTAGGTTGAGAAGAGAGGGTTGAAATGTGATGAGATTTCAAACTGTGCAGACTTAAACATAAATCACATTTTATGATTATTTGTTTAAATGTAGTACAAACAGTTCATCAGTGACTTCCCTAATCACCACTCCAGTTTAATGTGTACAGCTGTTAGCTCAATTATGTGTAAACATTTTTCAGAAAATCCATGGGACAGGGACCAAGTGAGGAAGGGGGCCCAAAGAGGCCGCTTATGTATAGAGCCCAGAATGAGGGCAGCAAGTATGTACGAGAGCTGATATCAGGAGCAGCCTAGTCGAGTCGAGTTGAGTATACAGTTTTGCAGTAGTGAACTGTCTCGCAGCGAGCCCATACAGCTACAGAGAGCCCCAACGGGACAACAGGTCTCCACCTGCTCAGCTGAAAGCAAGCCAACATGTGTCACAGAGTGCTAAGTTAAAGGTTTTAATGCTTTTATTTTAGGGACAGTTTGTTTGGTAATATATAAAAGTTTTTTTTAATGTCAGACTGTAGACTAGGTAGTAAGGTTGTTGCTGCAAAAATACTGAACTGAGGAATGGTGTGAATTATTGAATGTGTGGTGTCCGAACAATAATGCTGCGATGATGTGTTGAGAAGAAATCCGCATGACACTGTTCAAGGAATTCAGCATTAATTACAAGCTCTGCAGCAGCTTGGAGAGTGACCCAGCCCGATGGCCACTCTGTCTCTCTGTACATCAAACACAGCTTATATAGGACATGTTTAGGTATCTGCTAAATACCATATAAGGGTCCAGTCCCTTCATAAACACTAATCACTACTCTCCCTATCACTGGGTCCGAGGTCAAATTCCATAGGAAGGTTCACTATTTACACACCCATCAATCATTACTCCCCCTTAAGAGTTCACTGAGCCTCTATCCAGCTGCTAGAGTGTTATTTTAAACTGTAATGGTCAAATGCACATATGTTATACACCACAAATGTTAATTAAACTTTTGAGTTGATAAATAAAGATTGTATTTCTTATTTCCAACATCACTTTAAATACACACAATCTGGTTGACGTATATTTTAAGAGAAGAAAACTTAGGTTGCAAAATTGATTGCAGGCCTATAGTGTACATTGATGTTGTTTATTGTTTTGTAGTGTGGTATCACATGGCAGGGATAGAGTTAAACTCAAACAAAGGGTGTTAACATCTATTTGTGTGAAATTTACCTCCACAAGAGTGAGTTAGGAGAAGGAGGACAGCAATGTGATGCAAAACCATTGAACTGAAGCCACTTAGATGAGGTTTCCAGATGAGTCTGTCTATGTGAATCATCCTGGAGTTCTGAAAATAAAAGTCAAATAGAAAATTTAAGACCAATAAAATCCAAAATATCTCTCAGACAACCCTGAGGTGAGCCCATGAAGCCCATGCTTCAGACATTTGGTGATGTATGAAATGTATGATCCAGAGTTAATTTCCTTGTATGTATTAGAGGAAATATAGGACCAAATGGATTTTTAAAATGGCTAATAGGTGGAAATACAGTGTAAACTGCTGTGATTGATACCAGATTACCCTAGCTACTTATAAAAATAGGGGGGGCAACTTCATTCTTTCCACTTATTCCACACTTTCTCTTTTCTCTTTTTCTCTTTTTCCTCATCTACATTATGGCTCAGTTTATTCAACCACTGTATTCATTTATACTGTGGCGTTGCTAGACATAAATCTCTAACGGGGCACAGGCACCCTCATCCCCCATGTAATTTTTTAAATTATAATTTGGATTTATTTTGATTAAAGTGTATGAAATGTGTTAGTATGTGCTTTACCAGCTTAGCTTGCTTAGTCCATTAATCTTGGCACTGTCATGTCAGAAAGGGCTTTAAACCGGAGTATAAGCACACATTCCTGTGTCACCACCTAAGAAAAATTTCTGCTATGGGGCCCTCCTACCTAACTTGTGAGCCAAAAACCTGACACTGCATTGCTCTCACTTCTACCTCTCCTTTAAACAGACCGTCTTTGTAATAAGCCTGAATGGAAACCTCTTCCAGAAAATTCCAGTGCTGGTTTTGATGGACGTCTGTGCACTAGCTGTCTGTTAAGAATGATGCTGGCTGTACATTTCTGTGCTCGTACTGGCTGAGGCTGCTTGTGTTTCACCTGAGATCTGTGTGACTTGCTAAATATGTCTGGAGCGTGTCTGTGCTTGTACTGGATTTGGATGGAGGCTTTTACTGGCTATGATCAAGCATCTACTCTGCTGACAAACTTAACCGTAGCTCAAACTGACTCCCCCAGGCATCTTTTAATACATTTTCAAATGGAAAACACTATTTATACGACATATCTTGACTGAATAAGTGAAGTTTATTATTTACTGAGAGATGTGCATCCATATAGCCCAGTCTGTGCTGCTAATCAACATTTTAATAGTCAATGTGAATCCACTGCTTTCCATCTCGCATTAGTCCAGAGTTGTAACTAAACCTTCAATGTAGCCAATTGTTGCTAACCTCACACATCAAAAAATGACACCAAGGGGTCTGGACAATTTCAGCAGGGCACAGCACATAGAAAGGGTCTATGCATACATTTATTTCTTTTTTGGTTTTCCAAATGCAGGTTACGTATTGATTCATGTAAAAATTCTACATACCTTTTGTTTATGTCAATTTTTCGCCTCACCCAGAGGAACACAGGATGTCCATTCGAAGTTTGGAATCAAACACCCTTTGTAACCCTCTATCGTCAAATTGCAAGGCACTAACCAAGCAGGATGTTGTAAATCCCGGAGTGACAGAACAATTTACAGGTTCAGAGTCCTACTTAAAGGACTAGTCCAGCAAAACAAGGTAGTCCAACAAAAAACAGGATATCCAAAAGGGGGAACGTAACATCCAAAATCCAAAACATTAAAACAATAAATAGTCCAGGCAGGTAATAATGAAATAATCCAGGGAAAACACAAATGTAGAGCAGACAGGCTGAAAGACAAGCAGAACTGGTAAATGCAGGCTAAGCATCGAGTTGCAGACTGACATGCGCCAACAGGGACTGATTAAAACAGAAAGCTATGTACACTCAGGCAGGGAGGGAGCAAACATGTGAAACAAGACTGACGCACAGATCTAAACACTGAATCACAGACCAAACCACACTGTGACAATAATTTAATTTGACTTTGAAGTCCCTTTCTGTCAAGCTCAAACGAATGTGTGAAACTGTGCAATGTTCTACATCTGCATGTATTTGTTTTCAAGCTTAAAACACTGTGATCTCTGAGTCTGCAGAGCTCTTGTATTCAAACAGACATCAATCCAGCATTCACTTTAGTATCAAGTTAATAAAGCCGATCAAATTAACTTCATCAATCACATCAGAGTGACCGGCTGCCTTATATTAAAGGTCAAATGATCCAATTTACTGTGCATCTGAAAAGTATTCACAGTGCCTTATTTTTTCCACATTTTGTTATGTTACAGCCTTATTCCAAAATGGATGAAATTCATTATTTTCCTCGCTAGAGGTGGAGAAGACGTAAGCATAAACCAGATGGTTTTGGTAAGGTGAAAATGTTATTTAATGACAGAGAATAAACAAAAGTCATAACAGACATTGGACAAGTGGGTGCTGCCCTCTGCTGCCTGCTGCCCTCTGCTGCCTGCTGCCCTCTGCTGCCTGAAGACTGTCATGCTAATGATAATGCTATTATAATGCTATTCCAGCAATCTGGTAGAAAGATTGTTTTAAACGTAGTTTGAAGTGTCAAAATGGAAATCGCGAGTGTGTGTGTTACACACTCCTGTACAGTAGATGGCGGTATGCACCTAAACGATGTTTGCAATCTTGTCTTAATCAAGAGAAGAAGTAGTAGCAGCATAAGGAAAAAATGTCGGAGTCACGGTTCATTCATGCAATCAATTAAAACGTATAAACTCTTAAATTACGATTTTGGCCATAAATATACTTTGCAGATTTCTGGGTGTTATTGTTGTGTCCCTGACGTTAACGTATTTGATGAAACTTTAACACTTTAAAGTGCTAGAGCGTTTCAATAAGATGTTTGTTAGCGAATATTAGCTCGACACTAACGTTACCTATAGCAATTTATGATAATAGACTTAAGTGGTTTCTTTATTTGATTTTACTTAAACAACACATTAGTGTTTTTTTTAAATAACATGCACAGGGCACCGCCTACTGTGCTGAGCATGCTTGCTATCAAAAAACACTGTCTGAAACAAACCCAAATCTAAACACCGTATGAGAGCAGATCAAGAGTATGATTTTGTTCTGTTGTCCTTATAAACACAGGGTACGCTGGAAGAGGTGAGCTGCAGGGTATATTCTCCATCTATCTTCTCCACCCTGGATCCTGCAGCAATTTCTGCCAATGTGCAGGTTGACAGTGAGAATGAAGAACAAAATAATAAACATGTTATACTCTCTCCAAGACTCGTTTTTGTTTATATATTCTATATTGTTTCCACACTTAATAGGGAAATCACTGCAAATACAATTGCTTATTCTAGTTAATGTGTTTTTTGCTTGTATCTATGTAAAACATTAAATTGCTTCTATACAAAGGAGCTATAAATAAATTTGCTTTGCTTTGGTTTTCCATGAATGTAACAGTTACCAACTAATAAATGCAGTTGTCATTACATAAATTGTAGTAACAATGTGTGTGTTATAGATTACAGTATGAAAATTGAGAAATCAAAAGGTGCCACTTCACATTTATTCATTTATTTATCGGTATCTCAGTAACAAAACAATTCAATCCTAAGCCGACAATAGTTAGCTTTCAAAAGAACAAAAACTTTTAACATCCTGAGCATGTTACCACAATAATACACTGTTGTTCTTGTTGTAATGTTTGGTGGATTGTACATTATTTCTAGTGACACTATTTAATAACCAGACAAAAACTTAAACAAACAGAAAAATCACCTATAAATCATGAATAATTGTTGAAATGACTGAAAATAATTTTAAGTACAATGCTGCCACCTAGTGGCACCTATTATTTTAATGATTGAGGGGGTTACCACTCAATGTTACAAAGTATACATACATACAGTATACAGCTGCAGGTTATCAAAATCCTAAATTATAGAATTTTGTGTGATTTTTAAATGTAGGTCGAGAACATTTATTATATTTATTTAAAGTGTAAATTCTCTTTGTTGTTATAAAAGAAGTTTCCTTGCTGTGGTTTTATTTGATACTTCAAAGTTGTTTAATGTCATGATGCATTTTCCAATCAAACTTTCCGTACCCACTGTATAGATATATAGATATGTATATATACATATATTATTTTTTAATCTAAAATCTAAAAAACACATTGAGTCACCACTGTACTGTGATGACAAGAATTTCTGTTCTCATTGCAGCACTTCACAGCACTTCAGAGACTCATCCATTCTCAGATTATTTGTTCCCCATCTTAAGAAACATTGTTCCCATTGTGCCGATGACAATGCTGCTGCTGTTGCTGGGAGCACTGTGGGAAGCTCAGAGGTAATCAACAATTTCCATAATTATATATATATATATATATAATTTGTTCTGGTGTCCCATTTATATATTTATCATATTGTAGTTTTGATTCACTAAAAGCTCAATTTAAAAAAGGTAAATAAACGTCTATACATGTAAGATGTAATTAACCGTTTTTTGATAGAATGCTGGTAATTGTATCTCCTGCTTCTCTAAGATGTATTTCATTTTATTAATTCATGTTTCTAAGGGTCCAGAAGCAGATGTTTCATGATGCGACTGCATCGAGGCATGAAGATTCTCACAAGTCAAATGAAGACAGTCTACAAACCACAGCTTCTACTTTGACTAACGCGGACAAACACTTTGTAACCACAGCATCTCTACACCTCTATGAACAGACTCTGTTATTAAAATTCACCTCATCATGCATCATGCATGGCTCACCTTCTGCTTGTATTATCCACCTAAAAACATATTAAAACAATTATTTTTGTATCATGATGTTGTTGTGTTGTAATATTTGAATATAAAAAGAGGTCTAACTCAGTTGTTCTCAAACTTTCTCTGTCAAACCCCCTTTAGAAGCCTATAAATCATTTTCATGCAACTTTAAGTTTGCTCAACATCCACGACCCCCCTGAAGTTGCTCTACGTCCCGCCAGGGAGGTCTGACACCAAGTTTGAGAACCACTGGTCTTACTGTAACATGTTTTATTGAAATATCTATAATAACAATATTACTGTGTATTGTCCATGTAGTATTTTGTTATTGTCTGATTTCTCTGTCCACTTCTCTTGGTAGCATAACCCTTGCTTGCAATAACTGCCTCAAGCCTGCAACCCGTCGACATCACCAAACTGAGATGCTATTCCAGACTTTTACCGCAGCTTCTTTCAGTTCTTGTTTGTTTTGGGGTGTTTCTCCCTTCAGTCTCCTCTTAAGGAGGTGAAATGCAGCTCTCAGTACACCAGTAGTTTCTTTCTTTTTCAGGACATTCAGCACAAATTGTTCTGCTTGCTGTGTTTGTCCAATGGCTCTGGTCAATTTTCCTTCTTTTCTCAGCTTGACATTGTCTTGCTTTTCTCCCATAGACAGCTCTCTGGTCTTGGTGACAGGTGATGGAGTCAAGGGAACCACAGACTTGTTGGTCTTTTTTTCAAACAAGCCTGTAGGGGGGCAGTGACACACCTTTAAAGATGTATGGGTTCAACCACCATTCATCTTAAGGACAAATGATTTGTAATTGTAATAAATGAGGGGCTTTTCCTCCATGGGAACCCTTACCACCATGGAAAGTAATTAAGTACATCCTCATAGAGCACCTTTCATGGCTGTAGACCCCTTAGTGCTTTAAGCCTCATGGACACCTAGAAAAAGTAGTTGTAGTTGTAGATATTTAAACATATATCTGAATCTACATTTACTTAACCTCTGAGTCTATTTCTGCCAGGTCAACCGCTCTGTTTCTGAGAAAAGGTCATCAGACTGAAGCACAAAATTAGTGTTGCATCAACAGTAGACATTAGCCACACAGGAAGGAACATATCCCCACCTTCTTCTCACACTTCAGTCTGATGTTCAGACAGTCAGTAACAAGAAAACATGAAGGTCAGAGCTCTCTGCATCAGACTATGTGAGTACGGACTATTTGATAAAAACAAAACCATAAAGAGGTTGTTAAAATCTAAAAAGGTAAAAATCTGTGATGAGGTGCAAAAATGTGTTTTTCACTTCAAGGCTTTTGGCTGAACTTTTTTATATTTTTCTGTACTAGTTATGAGATTTAATAGACAACATGCTGATATTTAGGAGTAGCTGTAGGAATCAATAAAGCATGTAGATGCTGTAAATGAATTTCTGTGATGTTCAGCTGTTTTCATTTGTCTCTCCAGTGATGAATGTGTTATTCCTGCTGTGTGAACTTGATCAGAAAGTTGGTAAGTATCAGTTAGTTGATCATTTAATTTGATCAAATATTTACCTTTTTGATGAATGCATTTCATTGCGGGGACGTGTTCGTTGGAAAGTATTAAAGAAAAGAAGAAAGCAGGAAAATGTCGTCTTTTGAGATTTTGGTGAACTGGCCCTTTGTTTATCATTTTTATGAACAGATACATTCATTAGTTTTTATTTTGGTTCTGTTATTTTAGAACTATATTCCAGGTGTTTATATGTGAATTGAGAACAGATCTGTTTGTTTTCTTTGTTTCAGTGTCTCTTCATGTCGTCCCAAACAGTCTGCAGTTCTTTGAATATGACGCTGTAACTTTCCATTGTGACGGTTACTCTGTCTCAACTGCATGGAAACTTGTACATAGATTAAAAGGGGAAGCTGTCTCATGTAGATCTACAAGTAAGGTGACAACAACAGAGGCAACCTGTACCATTAAAAATGTATATCCAGAAGACAGTGGAGAATACTGGTGTGAGACTGGAGAGGAGAAGAGAAGCAACAGCGTCAACATCACTGTCACTGGTATGTTTGCATTAAGACAACAATCTTTTGTCATAAATTGACCACG